TATATTGCTAATTTAGTGAAGTACTGTAGCTACAACAAAATAAAGCCAAATGATGCCATATATTACAATATATGAACAAATGATATATAAACAAGAATTTGCATGTACCTAGAAGAATTATTTGAATTTGGAATGTAGTTAAAACGTAACACCATTAACACTTTTCTAAACCATTAACACTTTTCTATATTTCACTTATCTGCAGATGCTTTAAGTCCCTAATACCACACTATGGCCACCTTTGAACCTCACAACTGTATCCCAAGAGGTAAAGAAGTAATTAAAATTATACTTTCTGTGATTAAGGACTTTGGCGCAGTCTGGCTAGATTTTATACATTCTCAGAATCTTAATGATTTCCTTACATATGGGTATCCAGATAGGTGGATGTTTCTGTAATTTTCCAGCCTTCCTGCATTCTTTGAGGCTTGGCTTGCATGTCTGAGCCATCTAAAGAGGTTTTAATAAGCTAGCTGTCATGGTTCTGAAGGAAAACTTTTAAGAATTATTAGACAATCCTAACAATTCCATGTGAAGCTTCCAATCATTGCTATATGTGCTGTTTTCACTTCACTGCACACATTTATAACACTGAATTGTGAGTCTTTATATTACCCTATCATCACATTCATTTTCATAGATTCCATCTAAGTGAGAGAATAAATTGTGTAAGATAAGCAGACTATTGAAATTAATGTTTACATACATTCTGATCACAAAATTTGTGCTTCTTATTCTTCAGAAAGCACACATAACTTACTATGTGGCCAAGAAGGCTACCAAAGTTTAAGAATGGTTGGATATACTTATAGATTACCTAGGAGAATAGAATTAAGCTAGCTAATTTTCTGTTCCTAAAGCTATATAATTCTGAAAATATTTTGCCACCCATTTTGTAAACTGCAGTTTACAAAAGCAAACACATCCCAGTGAAAATAAATGGAAATCATACTTTACTTGCTGGATTTCTATTGTTGAGTTGTACATATAAATCACATCCAAGTCTTCTAAATAAAAATGATTCTCCGTACTCTGGTGTGATTTTGCATATTTATAATCTGATTAGTCATGGCATGCATCACTTAAAAGTGTGCCTGATAACACACAATTTAAAAGGCAGACTTTTGGAACTAGTGTACTTTAAAAAGAGTATGCAGGAATGTTTTATATTTGCTCATCATAAATGTGGAAGAACTGAAATCTAACATGCTGATAGATGGCCTATGCATTTTAGCTAGGACCAAGAGGGAAAAAAAACTTACTGCTTTTGGGTGGCAACCTCTTAGCCAAACATTAATAAAGCATACCCTAGCTCTTGCTCTTTGGTTGACAGTATATGCCAATTCATGGTTTGTGGTCATTCTAGTATACTAATATGATGCTTAAATTGATACACTTGATAGAACTCAATTACATGTGCAGCTTTATGTGTACTGGCTGACAGATTTGACTGCAACTCAGATTTACACAGGTTGTGACTGGGACATCTTGCTGGGCAATAATACATAGCTACCCTTGCTGGGAATGATGGAACATGCACAGTGAACTGCACCTCTATATATGTCTGACTTTGGCCCATTAAAAGCATTTGCAAACAAGCTTGAACTGCTTTCTCTAGTTCCTCCATCATTGTAATGCAGATTAATGCAGTGTTAATGAGAACCTGAAATCTAGCATATGCAGCTTCAGTGTGACAGGAAGCTAAACAAAGTGCATTCTGGCTCTTATTAGAATTCTGATTTAGTTAGCCAAAGACGCAATAATGCTGAAAGAATTAAATGCTATGGGGAAAAGTCCATATTAGGTAAAATTACCAAGGTTAAAGTTGAAACTTTAATGTTGCACAACTACCATATATTTGTTGTTCTAAGCTATGGGTGTCTACTGTAAGCTGTGGATAAATATAGTACTCAGCTTATAAAAAAGCAATCAAAATATTTTCAGCCACTGGCAGATACTACATTGCAGCAACAATGGTCTTGCAGCTTTTATTGCTAGAGCAAGCTGTGTTTAAGAGAACAAAGCAGCAGAAATTCCTTTTCATAATTTAAAAAACTAGTTTGGAATATTGTTTTCAATGACTCAAATGCCTTTTCATACACTTTTTTTCCAAATAGTTTTCTTCATCTCCAGTGATTTAAGACACAGAAGACACCATTTCAGAGTTCTAAGAGGTTTCTCCTAGCAATCTGTGAAATAAAACCCAATTTCAAAGAATCTATTGTACACAATAGTCAACAGCACTACAGTTGCTTTTAACCATGGTTCAAAACTAATTTTAAAAGGTAACCATAAATTAGCACACTGCTGTGCTATGGCTAATGCTGACTAGAGAAGAGCTGTACAATTTTGACAAAATAGGAGAGGAAAAATGAAAAGCCAGAGGAAGAGAGAACTAGTCTCTTAATTTCTGGATTGGAGAAGAAGTGTCCACACCAAAGTGACCTTCTGCCTTGCTCAGGCAGAAAATTTGACAATAATTATATTTATAACTTTTAACTGTAAATGTTTTATTTACAATATTTACATTTATTTATATTTTTGAGTTCAGTCATTCACTTTCTTTTTGATTCTATATCTTTAAATATATATATTCTCAGTATAAATGTCAAAAGTTAAAATAAATGATATAGAATATATTCAATTAATCAGTAAGTATATTGCTGATTGTAGCCAGAGTTGCAATTGCTGTGGTTTTGTCTTGTGCCAATTTTTCTTGTCTCTGTGTTTTAAACTTTTATTGATCTCCCAGAAAACCTCAACTAATGCATGGTATAAAAATGAACAAATATTTCTGCTATTAGTGTCAATACGAGGGAACAGGCAGTGCAGTGATAGGGCCTGTAGTTGAGCAAAGAAGCCCAGGAGAACTTCAGTGAGATGGATGACACAACCACCAAAGTTAGACTAGGTGAAGAAGATTGCACTAGAGATTCTTGCCAGAATGGCCACTCGGGCAGCTTGGGATCTGAAGGGGGAGACAATGTCAGGATATGGGCATAGAGAGGCAGCAGAAACAGTCAACAAACAGTAATCTCATTTGCCCAAATAACATCCCAAGTTACAGGATGGTCAGGAGGAGGAAGCAACAAGAGGCTTGAAGTGGAGCTAGATGGTTCTCATCTTCACAGAAGTCCTGCAGGCAGTGCTTCTGATAGAGCGAAGTACTTCATGGACAAGTGGTGCCCTGGGGAGCTTGGCTGGTGCCAATAATTAGTCCATTTCTTAAACCTTATCAGTGAGTATGTTACTAACTCAAAGTAGCCCCTGACTGTTGCTTCTTTATCAGGATGTCTAATCCCCCAATTCTTATATAGACCGTGGAGGGAAGAAAAGAACCCTTGGACATTAAAGGTGAACCAGATGACCAGACAAGAGACACCAGTATCAGCCCACATTTTAAAAAGTAGGAACATAATAGCTATGCATGTACACACAGGGTCATTGAAAGTTGCAGCCTCTTCCAAGAGATTCTCTAAAGGATCGACTATAGAGACTTTCCAATCTTTAGAGGAATACTTTTTTTAAACAAGAGAGATTGTGACACGAAAGTAATTTAAGGACTTTGAGGAGATTTAACATTACTCTTGCATGCTTAGGCAGAATTTGATTCAGCAAGATTTCAGATGTGCAAATGTAGTCTAAAGTTGTATGGCGGTATTGCATGTAGCCACCTTGAGTTCCACAATGGGAGGAAGGTGGGACATAAATATAATAAAAATAATAAATGAAATTGAAATATTGTTAGGCATGAATATATATATTGGTTGTTTAGAGCAAAGGGCCAAACTAGACACGGTATTCTTCATGTTTTTAGCAACTGGGGAAAGTAGCTTTGTTTTGGGGCACCAAGCTAAACCAAATTAATGTTCCCAGTTAGGACTCATAAATATCACTGGTGAGATTTGTGATCTCCAGAAAACATTTGGATATTTTCCTTTTTAACAAAAGCTACATATTGAAATATCATGATTTGTTTATTGCTGATAGCACTGCAATAGCTTTTGTTAACAAAAACTGTCAACATATAATCTGCAGTTAAAATTCGGGAAGTTGAAATGGAAATCTGACAGTGGGAACTACATTGAGGCAATTATGGGTGATCAAGGGCTGAGGAAGAGAAATCCAGGCAAACAGCTGTTTTTCAAAACTACTACAGGGTAATTGCAGCAGGCACAATTTTAAGATACATTGCAAGTGCGAGGAAAGATAAAAGAGTAAATTGCTAAACAGCCATTTCCCCCTCATTTTAAAAATTTTTGGATGTGACTTTATCGCTGATTTCTTGTTTGAGTAAGAAATTAGCAATTCCAGAGGAACAATAATTGCAAAAACCTGAACATGGCATACAAATGGGAGGGAACTGCAACAGATCTGCTGGGACAACACCGCTGCTCTCAGAAGGGAATTGCAAACTTGTCCACTCTGCTTTATCCTATGATAATGTCCACTGTACATTTAGCACTCCATGAGAGTGGGCCTGGGCACCCAGTTCAAGAGATGTTTACCCCTTCAGTAAGATGATAGAGAAATTGTGTGAAAGTGGCATAAAGGGAAAAAATGGGCATTTAATTCCTCCATGTCATCAATGGAGGATATAATGAGTTCATCAGGTAAGTAAAGGCAGTTCTGTGGCAACTGTCCCAAGACTTTTTAAGTATGGAACAGTATAGTAAAGTTTAAAATAAAATAAAATAAAAATGTATAAAAAGAGGGACTATATATAAATTCAGTCTTTTCAAAAATAATATCAGTGTCATGAGTTCTTCTTTAACTTCCCTGCCATCCTTAAGACTCCACTGTTAAAACTTAAGGCACCCCTCCAAAACACAAGTGTGCACACCAAGCACAGAGAAGTACTTGCCCTATAAAATTTGTTACAATTACCTACATTTGTTATCAGAATAAAGAAAGAATGCATTTTACATCCATATACAGGATAGTTTGCTGAAAAAGAAAAAGAAACCCACATAAGAGGATGGAAAAATTCTGTATATTACCTCCTGATTAGCAGCTGCTAGTTCTTCTTCAAGTGCGGAGACTCTTTCTAAAGAAACCCTCAGTCGTTCCCTTACCTAGAAGAAACATATATTTTCAGCTACAAGATTCATGTTTCTACAATTACACAATGTATCCCCTTCTCCATGGTGTGATATGCTGCAAATAATACTCCATTTCACTGTGCATTAATGTTATTTGGCACAAGTTGCACCCTTTGTTTTTGTTTCTAAAGAGAGGTGGCAGCATCAATGGGGTTTGTTTTAAATCAGGAATTTAAATCAGACTTTTCCTTTGATGATTGAAATCACAACTTGGAGCATATTCAAATCAATCCACCCTGGTGCTCTGACTGATACTCAGTATGCCAGACTGATATGCATTCCATGATTCAGTGGGCTGCTATTCAACGCTCTTTTGGAAGCCTTCTGTTGGCGGCCTCCTTGGCTGAACACTCAGAAGTTAACAAGGCAATCACTTTACTGCAGATTCAACACTCACAAATCACTTAGTAATGCATCTCAGATCACTCAGACCAGGGAAACACTTCGGTCTCAATTCTCAATTAAAAGAGAGAAAAACAGAAAACAGAAACCTTGACTATCTGTGCAGAGCTTTTAATAAAGTACTTGCTGAAAGTTCAAGTTCGTTTTTTGATTCATTAGTATAGCATGATAAATCAACTCACCACTACTTTTCTGGTGGTTTATTTTCATTGGTCTCAAACATCACAAAGCAAAATTAGACTATAAACCATATTAATCTCCAAGAACAATCGCTAGTAGTGCAGCGTTATGTAAGTCCTGGCTACCACTGTTATGTTTAGCAGCAAAAGGAGACTAAACATTTGGGACTTTTCCCAGTATTGTCTGAATACCATTTACTTCAATAGGCTATTATTCATCTCTTGCTAAGCAAAGTCCAACTACTAAGATCAATTACAGATAAAATGTACAATAGAGGATTTTCACACCATCTAGGACTTGCATGTCAAAATGTTATATGATGATGACAATGATGATAATGTTGTTTCAGGAATAATAAGTAGTAGCATGCACATTTCTCTAAACAATCCAGGATCCTATTCATTTAGATAGCTGTATAGTTCTATCATGGAGAAACTGCATTTTTATAATTCAAATGGCTGAATCTGGCTATGGGCATTGCACACATGGAAACAGCTTCCTACATCCGTATTCCCAGCTACACAGGAACTTCCCTGGCAAATATATTTCTCTCTGCTATGCAACAGCTAGACTTGTGGCCATGGAGCAGTATGTAGAGTGTCATTCTATTAATGCAAATGATGCTGCACTACCAGAAACCAGATTCCAACTGTGCACAAGCTAAATTTGTGCTACCAATTGCACATAGTGCTTTTGCAGCTGCTTGCAAAAGCATCATTAGGATATGGAATGGGCTTCCAAGGGGGGTGGTTGAGGCCCCATCGGTGAGGGTGTTCAAAGATAGGCTGGACATGCACATGGTGGGCATGTCGTGAGCAGAGCTGGGTGTCAGATTAGATGGCCTGGGAGGTCCTTTCTGACTTGCTTTTTTTCTTGTTTTCTCTCTTCCGATCTTGCATGAGTAGTTGTGCAATGCAAAAATTTGGTGATTCTCCATTAGCAGAATTTGCTGAATGACATTACAGGCTAAAGCTCATGGAGCTCATAGGTGTCAGCCCTCCCCATTTACAATAGCAATATTTTCTACTCTAGTGCCTGTCTGATTATCCTTATTTTTATTTTATTGTCTTGGGGGATGAGTTATTATTCTTTTGTTAATAAGTTGTGCTGGAGGTTGTGATTATTCAGAATTTTCGAGGGTGCCCAGAATTTATTTTATTTTATTTTTTGTGTAGATGGGTGACAGCATCATTTCTACTGCACATTTATATGAACACATATGCATAGATGCCAGAGCACAAGCAGATGTTACTCTAATTGCTTAGCTAGCAGCCACATCTGGGCTTTAATAGCAGGCTCAGGGGAAAGGGGGAACTTAATATACAATGCAGGATGTGCAGCAGGCAGGGCCAGGACCTCCTGGGTGGTTAGAGAAATGTGCCATCAGGACTATTTGGCCTGTGCAGCCCATTTGGGGTCTATCCGGGGGCCATTTGAGGCAGTGGGACAGGTGTGTGTGCATGTGTGAGCTTGATTTTTTTTTGCTGCTGAAGTGTAGAGGAAGGTATTGTAGCATGGAAGGAATTCATAGTGTTGAATATAGTATGGGTTGATGAAGAGAGTTGGGGAATGTTATGCAACCTGGACTGGTGTTGAAAGGCTCTGCTGGCTGGCTACTTATAGACTGTAAGTTGAGAAGGTTAAAGGTGTGGTTCATTAATTAAGGATGATGGTAAGAAAGGGAAGGTTGTACAACATGTAGGGCTTTTTTCCCTCTCCCCTTTTCTCTCTTTTGTTTTTTGTGCTTGTTTGGCAATCTCTGGGGAGTATAGAGGGTGCCTGTATCACAGTGGTTACAAGTAGGGGGAGATATGGCAATTGGGGTTGGACTGGCCGGAGAAGGAGAAAAGCTAACAGATACCTTACTGATGACCAGTTCTAGAGGGTGGTGTGGGGGAACTGTCATTCTGTGACATGGTGACTGTACCATGGAGCTCTGCAGGGTTCAATTCTGTCTCCCATGCTTTTTAACATCTACATGAAAGTGCTGGGTAAAAAGTCATCCGGAGGTATGTGCTGAGGTGTCATCCATACAATGATGACACCCAGCTCTCCATCACTTTTTCTTTTGACCCAGGTGAGTGGTGGCTGTCCTGGACAGGTGCCTGAACTCGGTAATGGGCTGCCAATAAACTGAGTTGAATCCAGACAAGATGGAGGCCCTTTTGGTGGGCTCTCCTATACTCCAATTACGAAAATTTCAACCCACTTTGAAAGGAGTTTCACTCCCCCTAAAGGAGAAAATTTGTAGCTTAGCAGTGATCCTGGACCCCAAGTTCTCCCTGGTTTCTCAGGTAGGCTAGGTGGCCAGGAGTGTCTTTTTTCAGCTTCAGCTGATTTCTCATCCACATTCCTTCTATAATGAGCAGAGAGCCTTGCCACAGTGACCCATGTGCTGGTAACCTTTTGCTTGAATTACAGCCATGCGGTCTACAGGCGGCTACCTTTGAAAACCATCCAGTTAAGACAGAACAGGGCAGCGCAACTGCTTACGAGGACTGGCCAGTGAAAACGTATTATGCCAGTCCTCTGTCAGCTTCATTGGCTCTCTGTTCCAGTCAGGGCCCAATTCAATGTTGTCTTTGACATGTAACACTCTAAATGGCTTGGGAATGAAAGCTCGTATTAAAAAAACCCCTCAGATGAAGCTGCTAGCCATGAAAATAAAGTTAATTTCCAGCTTAGGTCTCAGTGCAACATCTATGACTTCACATAAGACAACTGCTGAAGATGAATTTTGAATTGAAGGTAATATGAACAATGTATTGCGAGACAATGTTATGTTTTCCTTTCTATAAGCACTGCCTTGTCTTTAAAATCTGTGGAAGAGAAACTCCTACAGAACAAATTAATACGGAAGTCAGATTAGATGTATGCAAGTATTACAATGGGAGCAGACTCTTTATGAAAATAGGGGCATTTCAAATGTATTCTGGCTATGAAGAGTTGAAGAGTATGGAAATCCTTCAAAAACATGGCAATTCTAGTAATGAGCTGTTACTCCCCCATACACACACATACAGAGAAGGAGGGAGGGAGGGAGCGAGATTAATAGGATTTTAACCTGTATTTTGGGATCAGGGCAAAAAGATTTAGTTCAAATTTGAGTGGTAAATGAGGTTTAATCACAGGATTACTGTTTGGGACCAGAGGATCCTAAAGAAGTGTTAACAAGGGACAATTCATGGTCTTTTGTTTTTTTCCTAGAGAGATTTACCCTTATAAGGTGAAATATAAATGGCTCATAATTGTGTTGCTATCCCTAAAGTACTGGTTTTTGCACAGTTTTTAGCACCTATGTCAAAAGGATTTGGGAACCACACCTCAGTTCTCAACCATGGTGAATTGGAAAGTTCAGAGTAAATAAACTTATATTTCCATACTGTACCTTTTCATCTAAAGCCTTGTGGTGCTCAAACAAAGATTTCAATGCTTTCAGAACTTCAACTTCACTGGAAACTCCTGAGGGAGACTGTGCTTGGCGTTTCACCACTGTCATTCTCAGTGACCTTTCATGTCTTGAAACAAGGCACTCCAAATGTTCCAGTAACAGCTATTGGGTTCAACATAAAGAGAATGTTAGCTCATTTGCTCCTAAAGGTTCCTAGAATTATCATTCTAAACTATATAGGGCAAAATTATAACAACACTGGCATCTTTCACTGTACGTGAGCCTTATGATGACTCTACTTGGCTTTTTTCAATGGCCATGTTGCAGACCATGAAAAGCAGGTACATTTGGTATCTATTTAAACCCACAAGCACTTTTTCTTTGACAGCAAATGGTTGCACTCATCTTTGCTTAGATAATTCAAAATATTAAAATATTGTTCAATGAGACATCACTTAGGGCACATTCTCTGGCTGCTAAACAGATTCTAGACAGCCATAGGAAAATTTGGAGCCTCAAATTTTGAGGGCATTTAAGAGGCTGCCCTCAGAAAACTGGCTTCAAGGTTAGAACTGGGTCTCTGGATCTGAACCAGTGCACCCAGCTCTGGTCTCCTAGCTGATGTGGAAAGAACGGTGTTGGGGGTGGCTCCGAGGTTGCAAGGCTGACCTCTGAGATGGAAGGGATGAGCCAGGAATGTGGCATCCTGGTATCTCCTCCATTTCCCCTCTGCACACCCCGGGGATGAAATCAGCTGTCCAGGTCTTATTCAGAGCAGGCGTACAGAGGCAACCTTTACCACCGTGCACCTTCTGTCCTCCACAGGAAGCCCATAAACTTCTCAGTTCAAGGGGTTCTGGCAGCCACACTGGATTGTGTTGCCCAGTGGCCAAACTTCAACAAACTAAACAATGCATTGTGTACAGAATGCAGGAATCAGTCACATACTAAGATTTTGTGCTTTTATATTAACTTTTAAGAGGCATGGCAAAATAAACAGGCACATTTCCTTTAACATTTGGCATTACTGCAGCTGATAAGCACTGGTTGTGTCCAATGCTAGCACTTGCACAGTGATGCTCACACAATACTCCTGCCCAGTTTTCCCCGCCCACTGCAGTTCCCTATCCTATAGCCCAGACTTCTACCAAATGCCCTGGAATGATAAGAAACACCTTTTGTGTGGTACAGAAGGCTCCAGGAAGAAGGAGAGTCCCCTCTTTGCGCAGCACACAACTCCACATATGCCACTAACAAACAGCTGCCCAACATTAACCACTGCTGGACAACCTGTTCCTCAGGGGCTTTGGAATAGAGGGGTCGTATCTTGAGTCGTACGCTGGGTCTGTTCTGTTTATGTTGCCCAGAGTATGACAAAGGGCGCGGCTACATCTTGCACTAACCATGCAGCATGGAGTCGAGCCCTGCAGTATTTTTAAAAAATCTTGTTTAAGCATGCTGTTTGTGTCTCCCCTTTTCTTCAAAAGGCAGCTTCAATATAAAGCTGCATAATGTAAGAAGGTGATTGTTATTTTTAAAGTCATCAGTCACATTTAAATACAGTATAAACAAGTTATCTGAACTAAATCTTGTTAACCAGAGCTTGTCCATTAAATAACTAAACAGCATGGAAGAGTCTAAATACTTATTTCAAATTTGTGTACAGTGCATATATAGCATCTGCCCAAGTAAACATTATTTTAATGGACATGGCCAGTGTTAACATCTCCTCATTCGTTTATGGTAATTATTTCAGAGCAAGCACATTATGCTTTAACTGATCCCAGTAGCCAAGAAGTGACTCTTCAGTCTTTCCATACCAAAATTCCTCATTGATACACACACCTCACACTGGCCCAAATCATTCTATCATCATTCTATGTTCTATCATTCAAAATGTACTATTTTGTTGAATAACTGAAACCATGGAGGGAATGGATGATATTTATATCAATGTCATTTATTCATCACTTTTCAACCACTCCACAATTCCTCTCATGAAACTATGTTCTGGCATAGCATCTGCCCAAAGAAATAAGCAATTGCTGAAAGCACCCTGGGAGCTCCCATGACCCAGCCAGTGTTCAAACCAGAAGCTCCACCTTTAAACCCAACGCTCCATTTGCTGCACCGTACCTGCTCCTTGGTACATTCAGGCATGTACCAAATGCAGGAATTAAGGCACATGAAATTGTGCAGATCTTGGATATTAAGCTTTTATGCTAGAGGGTGTATTTATCTTAAGCAACTATCAAGAGTCAGTAACACTTTTTTTCTTTACTGGCCTAATACATGTTGCTGCATTACACAACACTATGTCCAGAGTGGACAAAATGAAGACAAAATTCACAAATATGCCTTGTGGGGAATTTTGAGTTTGCTCAAAAAGAAAATGAAGAAAAAGAAGGCATTTGATGGGGTTTAATGAGATTTAGAGCAAAACTAAAACTGCATTACAGAAAATTCATTCAAAGCACATTATGTGTGGCATGTTAACAGAAGATGTTATCCAGTTGTGAATGATGACTTAGAGGTCAAAATACACTACTCTAAATAAATATTCCCCTTTCAGTAGTAAACAACTTGAAATCAGACATGCTGTCTTCCTAAATATCTGCTGTGATCATGTAACTTGACACATGCTCTCTTCTCTAACCTAAGGAGGTGGTTCTTGTATTATAATGCTTAAAGGGTTTAGGGCTTGTTTGATATTAGCAAACAAAAACCAATGATTCATTCCAGAGGCAGTTTAGAGGCACTACTGGATTTGTCCCCAAAGCGCTTAATTCTCATCCATTTTCTGTAGTGGGTATACCATTTTAAAATTTCTTGTGCGCTGGCACAAACATGAAGCATATCTGTGTCAGCAATGCATATCTTAGGTAACAGTTCACACTAGTGTGAAGATGCAGCTGCCATCATCTGGGGACCACACGTTCTAAATTACCTGTCAAGTAAAACAGAGTCAGTGAACAAGAAATACTATAATGATCTCTTGACTGGGATGCAGTGTTATGTTTATTTGTTAATCTATTCATCATTATAAACTTCCTATTCTGAGGGAAAAATTTACATTCCTTTTAACTGTTTCATTTCCTTTATGCCAACCAACAGTCAAAGTTTTCTTGAGCAGATGTTCTGCTTTTATTTATTATTATTTTTTAATTTTCAAAATTGTATGGGCCGCTAATTATGGCACCATGGAACTCTTAAGGTATTTATATATAACTCACATCAAATTACATTACACATGTATCCCACATATCAGCAGAACAAATTCAGTTTTACTAGGCTGATTAAAAAGAGAAATACCTGCCTAACAGAGTCCAAAACTGAGCTGACCGAGGTGCTGAAGACCCCATGTGTTCTGCCTTGCAGGTTTCAATATTCACATCAAGGCAATTTTTCCTGATACAGCTGAGGATTTTGTCAACTCTGCATTAACCCATTACATGTGGAGGGCACACAATGAATTTAGGTTTCTCTTCTGGGAATAATGCTCCACGATCATGAGAATTTGAAATAGCTCCACTGGCTAGAACATACAATTTGAACTATAGGTCACTGTAAGCCCCTGCAGGGGAAGGGAACCAGTTGTGATAGTTTATCCAGCCCCCAGAGACTGATGAGTCTGGATCAGCCCCTGTGCAGTGCAGTGCAGTGCCCCCTGAAGTGACAGAGCACATGCACCACTGCAGTTCAACCGCCAACCCTTTCCCCTTATGGCGTCTCCCCCCATCTCCTTTCTACTGCTGCTTCATATTACCCACCTCTTCCTCTTCCTACATCACACCCTCTTCCCATATCACAGCCCCATCCCTTTCTTTAACTGTGTTGTGCGCTGCAGCCCCTTCTCCCCTTACCTTTGCCAGGTGATCTGGGACAGCCAGCCCATGCCTGGCTCTGAGGAAGGATCCCACACAGGGTCCCACAGACAGGACAATAGTGCAACAGCATCCTCTTGCCTGTGGTCCCCAGGAATAGCAGTCCATCGGTACCCTGCCTCTGATACTGAAGTCAGCATGCAGACGTCAGAACTAGTAGCCGTCTCCTCCAGGAATTTGTCCAATCCCTGTTTAAAGCCATCCAAATCAAAGGCCCTCACTGCATCTTGTACGAGTGCACTCCGGCATTTAACTTCATGCTCTGCATCACTGCCCTATCATAGGGCAGTGATACAGAGCAGCTGCTTTACTTGCAAAAGATCACATGTTCAGTCCTTGGCATCTCCAGGTAGGGCTAGGAAAGAAACCCACCTGAAACCTCACTGCCAGTCAGTGCTGACAATATTAGCCTAGATGGACCACGTTAGGAGTTGTAGGCCCTTTTTTCAGTCTAAGCATACATTCAATTGCACCTTTAATGTAAGAAAATCTGGAGTACTACTGGCTCCCCCCACTCCAGCTCTGACATGAAAAAACAAAGTGGATGCGCGTTGGCTTTTCTCTCTCCCAATTCTGGGCACATCCATCAGGTCCAGAAGCAACCCCATGTGCCTTCATCTCCATGTTCTGAGTACTACCCTAAGCTGGAAGGGGGAAGCAGGAACATGTTGTATGCACCCAACTTGGATTCCAAGCTGTGAGTGTCCATGGGAGCAGACACAAGGGCAGGTTCCTCTCGCAGGACATGGCAACAGCATCTTCTCATGGCTTGGCACTTGTGCCTGCCAAAAGTAGAGTGGAGAAAATCCTAGGCTTCAGCAGAAGTACTCTGGAATGAAAATTCATCAGAGCAGTAAAATATACTGCTGTTTTCCCAATTGAAATCATCCCCGACAGAAGTAACTTTGCCTGGCAAACAAGCAAACAAAACAAAAAAAGTAAAGGTGTTAAGTGGGTGAGGGTCTATTTGTGTGTATAAAATGTATAGTTATACACTAATTTAGGTTGCAAACTTACGCATACTTAGTTGCATAATTAAGTATAGCTGCAAACCTATGCATACTAGAAATTCTGTGACTTTTTTTTCTTTGGTGTAAACATCCACAGGACTGGTGTGTTTGTTGCTTCTCTGTTACTGTGGTGTATATTTTAATTTTAGTTGTTGATTTCCAGTGTATCACCCAGCAAGGTTACTACTTTCTATACTCTTCCCATGCAAAGGTCATTTGTATGAATCCCTCACTGATTTCTTGAAGCACTGAACAGATAATCTGAAAGCCCCGAGGATTGTAAAGACTATGACAGTGTTAAAGATGCCAGATGTCACATTTTAAAATAAAACTGGCTTGCTATAGCAACACACTGTGTGTGTAACTTACAAACAACTTGTTTTCACCTGGATATTTTAAAGAATGATGAACATGCCAGAGTAGGTTACCACCCATAGAAACTAAGTGGGCTGCTTCTTTAGGAGATTGAAATTGGCTCCATATATACACTTGCCTATACATCTAGCCACAAACCAGAGTTAGTGATAATCATTCACCATGCTTCTAGCTTGTTTTATTCCAACAGCAGCAGCAGCTTCAGCTAACAATAACCACCTTTTTTTTCTTTTTTATTTAAAAAGTGCTAATTTTATGTTATACATAAAGGACAGCATATACAAGTTATAAATAAATAAATAAATTTCCCATTCATCTTTCAGCAAGGAACCTTTTGCATTAGTGAGCTTTTCCTGACATTGCACATGCACCAGACTCTTTCTACCATAAGAAGTTAACATTTCATTAACCACTTAATGTCATGATGAAGGAGACTAAAATCTATCCAAATCCAAAAATGCCCCCCCTGCCCAGGGAGCACAAAGATATGTGCTGCCAGTATGGAACTAATGTTACAGCCAATGTGAATGCCATCCATAATGCTTCTGCAAGGCACTGCCTCCCTGTAGGACCACAAAAAGCGGTGCTACCAAGCAGATCTTTATCTACAGAGTCCCTGTAGTGCTATCAGCCCTCAACATCATCTAAAGAGTCAGTTGCCAGAGTTAGTGGAACCTCTATTACGAACCTCTGGCAATGCCATAAGAACAATCAAAATGGTGCGGCGGATCCATTAAGCAATATTACACATTTGCATGGAGATGAACAAAAGACATGCTTTTTGAAGTGACCTTCAACATGGGAGTTGTAATGCGGGGTAGCCAGGATGCTGTAAAGCTTACAGTGCTAGCCTGGGACTTAGGGGATCTGGGTTCTAGCCTGTTCTCAGCCACGAAGCTCACTGAGCGACTTTGGGGCAGTCACTGACTCTCAACCCAACCTACCTCATGAATATGTTGTGAGGATAAAATGGAGAAAAGGAGGATCATGTATGCTGTCTTGGACTCCTTGAAGGAAGGCTGGATATAAATATAACAAATAAATAAATAATATGTAGATCTGCCTTTATCGCTAATGCATTTCACCCATAAGGCACAGGAGTATTTACAACCAATCAGCAAGAGCTGACACACATCCATTTGCAACCACTCCAAGATACTGACTGGGTTCAGGCAACATGATAACCTACACTGAGTGGTTGAGTATGGACTGAATATAGGCTGTTGTTGAACCACGGGTTGTTGTTCAAACATGGCTCATTGTCTAAACCTGCACATAACTCATGAATAAAATCCATGGTTTGTTGTTGGTTCATGAACTGTAGGTTGTTCAATGAGGTTTGTCATCTTAGCTGAACTCAGATAACAAGATGACTTACATTTCAACAACCACTCAGGGTCACACACAAGTCACACACAACCCTTATTCAACCGAGTGTAGGTTATCATCCTGTGTATCATGTATTAATTTACTGTGAATACACCAATGCCACAATACATAGACTAGATGAACATGGCTGGATTTCAGCATCTGATTTATGACAATGGGCAGAAAATTCCACGTGGAACCACTCCAGTGCCCTCAATACACACTTATCAGAAGAGGTAGGCGGAGATGTAAATTCTGCAGGACCTCTCTAGGAATGCTGTTCATTGGTGCTCTCTGGCATATCTGCTCCAAACTGGCAGAACTATTCAAGAAGTATCTCAGGAATGCTCACCAGTTCGTGCACTCTTGGCAGTAATGCTTCATAACCAAGCATTACCAGTAAGAGGCCTTAGGGAATCAACAGATCAGAAGCCAATTTTTTCCTGTCAATCTTTTAGGTGGCAGCTACTGTTCAATTTCATACCTGGGTCAAAAGCCAGACGGGAGATATCCAGAAAGCTAATAAAGGCCAGATGGTTCCAAATCTGTTCAGTGGATGTCTACTTTTAAATTAACCCCAAAAGAGAGGATGGAAACAGAACAGTAAACAACCAGAAAATCAACCTCACATTTGAATTTACAGACAAACAAAAGGTAGGAGGTTTCAGAAAGTGCTTAGAGAAGAATATTACTAATGGAAGTAAAGGACACATTCCATATTCTGACAATGTTTGTACCATTCCAATATACTCATAAAAATAGTGCTAAAAGTTAACTATCCAAAACTGATAGCTTATATACTTACTCTTGTGTTATTCCTTTCAGCTTTCAGTTCTGAAATTTCTTCTTCTTTTTCTAGTAGTTGTTCCCTGCATGCATTCAGCTCTTTTGTCAGTGCGGCAAATTCCTACAAAGATGGAGAAAATGTGCAAGAAATCAGCATAGTTCAGTTCTGAAAACTGTATTTTCATTTAAGTTCCAATGAAAGAAAGCATAACAAAATTAAAACTTTGCTACTGGAATGTTCATGGAGCTTTTAAAAGCAATTATAGTGAAATGACTTTTCCTAGGTTAAAATAGCTATTTGGGGTGCAAACACGGCTTTGAAAATTACCTGAAGTCCAGGGCTCTATTCCACTGAAATATGCCATTCTGCAGAATTTCAGTGCCACATACCTAAGAGAAGCCACTGATTCTTTATTTCAGCCATAAAACTGCAATGCTTTTCATATGCATTTTATTTATTTATTTATTTATTTATTTATTAAAACATTTTTATGCCGCCCCATTCGCCGAAGCCTCGGGGCGGCTTACAACAAAAAATTAAAATAACATTTTAAAATATATACAATAAAATACAAATATATAATATAAAACATACACTATAAAACAAGCCGCCCTGGCCAAATAAAATTCAATAATATTAACATTTAAAATACTGCTTAAATAAAAAGGTCTTCGCCTGGCGCCGAAAAACAAATAACGACGGCGCCAGGCGGACCTCTCTGGGGAGCGCATTCCATAACTTAGGCGCCACCGCTGAGAAAGCCCTCCTCCGAGTAACCACCCTCCTAAGTTCTTCCATGGAGGGCTCCCGGAGAAGGGCCTCTCCCGCCGATCTCAGGGGGCGGCTGGGCATATAAGGATGTAAGCGCTCCTTCAGGTAACCAGGTAACCAGGACCCAAGCCGTTTAGGGCTTTATAGGTCATTACCAACACCTTGAATTGGGCCCGCATTTAAACTGAATGACTATGATTCTGTCTGTGTACTGAACAGACATATAGAAGAAAATAATGAGTTATTTCTGTTTAGGGTGCATGTTTAAATGAAAAATGCAAAGCACCACCAGGGAGATGTGGGACTCAAGGAGGGCCTGTGTATGACATGCAACCATCTGAGATTCAGTGAGTGCCTTACTAGGTGGTGAAGCTCCATACAGGTGTCCAAGGCAACATAGACCTCCCTGGCCAAACAGCATTAAGATGATTCTAATTCACTACAAATATACATATGAAGCTACCTCATATTGAATTAAACCACTAGTCCATCTACCTTAGCACTGCTGACACTGCCTGGCAGCGGCTCTTTAATATCTAAAGATTCTGAAGATACGGAGGATTGAACCTGAAGGGAGGGAAGGATTCCAGCCCTAGAAATGGTAGGTATCAGCCCATTCTATATCTGAGGTTATAGAAGTCTTAGTTTACTACTCAGATGAGTCTAGCATTCTAACTGTGCTTGGTTTTTTTTCACATTGACCTCTACAATTCTCTTCATTTGTACTTTTAATCCAGTGTGGTTTGCATTAACTGCATAAAGCTTTTAGTTAGAAAGCCATTGGCTTGGTCTGCGTGGAAGGAGGGGGAGAACTGGGAGTTCAGTAAGGAGAGCACTCAGAAACAACCACAAGGAAATGATGTGAAGTCCAGCCAATTCATAGAGCAGTGCGGCAGCATGTCTGTCAAGGCTGAGTTCCAGAGTAGGAGAAAGAACGAACATGCTGAGTGCTCAAAATAACTTCTGGCAGGCTTAAAGCATCTTGCTGCCCTTTCTTGAACAAAATGTATTCTTTAGTTAAGGTGGTGACACCAGTCAAAAATACAAAACAGACTACACACCTGCAGAAAGCCATCAGGCTGTTCCTTTATGCCACCCTGGGGTCTTTTGTAAACAGGCGTGTATCATCTGCCTATAGGTTTGGCTTCTCCACTTGAGTCATGGGTGTGGAGTAACCCATAGTGGTGTGTGAAGGGATGGGTAGTGAAGTCTCTCTGCATTTCTGCAGCTTTGTAGCGAACTGCCTTCCATTGCAAGTCTCAGCATTTACAAGGATGCAGGATTTTTATTTTAAATTAGAAGCTTCCACAATAACCTAAAGCACATAAAATCATTTTACCAATCCCTTATTTCATTGTTATAAAAACCCCTACCGAAATAATTATAACTTAATATAACTCACTTAGTTTAATTAAAGCATGTGACACAAATCAATATAGTACATACAAAATATTATAGGATAAGCAGAAGTGATTTCTGTCTGAGAATGTGTCTGAGATTTTTATAAGGCAAGGCTTTAATCAAAAAAGTAAATTGCAGATCTGATGATTTATAGTTTTCACAGAAGTAAATTGTTCATCACCCTGATGCACTAACCATTTAAACCAGAACATTTGGATTTAAGCCAAGTTCATCTCATCAAGGAAGTAAATTAGTGCTTTGGCTTAACTGCTTTTAGTTGATTACCAGTTCATTATTAAAAAAAAGAACATGATTTATATTATCAGCAAATGATGCTATTATGTTTTGCTTAAAAACTGTTCTTGAGTGGGAGACTATGCAGAAATACATCATGTTTTGCTATCACATTTTGGTCTGCAAGAGACACTTTCCTTGAAATATGTTTACAAACCTAAACCCAAAGGCAATTTTTAATAACACAGTCCTATGCATGTTTAGGTCTCACTACGTTATTTGTGTCAGATGACTGCCAAGTGAGACTTTGATCATATTTGACTGTTATCCTTAATATATAACTTATTCAGATATCACATAGATCTAGTAGGTAATAATTATGCAATATAAACTTTTCCTGCCCATCTGCAAGATGCCAAGGAATAATTAATTAGCCATATATAAACTAACATATAAAAGCTCTTAATTTTAATGTGTGTGGAGAACATACAGCTCACTTAAGATGCTTTATATCCAGTCTTTACTGAGTGCTGGTGTGGTGGTAAGCAAAAAGAACTGGGGACCTGGGAGAGCCAGGTTCTAATCCCCGCTCAATCATGAAGCTGTTGGGTGGCTTTGGGCCAGTCACTCACTCACAGCCTAATCCTTCTCACAAACTTTTTGATATGATGATAAAATGCAGTGAAGGAGGCCTTTGTAAGCCACCTTGGGTTCCTTGCAAGAGGAAAAAAGGTGGGATATAAATGAAATGTAATAATAATATTTATTTATTTTAAGAAAATAGGCATTGCGTGGATTTGGTGGCAAGTTTAGATATTAAGGCTGGAGAGAGATCCAACATTAGAAAGGACTTAAAATGTGCTAATAACACAGGGAGCTGCTAGAGGGTCTGGGCTCCTTCTATTATTATGGTGAACTTGGGACAAGACCTGAAATGGGGCTAAAGGGAGCTCAGCAGTGGATGGTGTGAAGTGAGTCACACTGAGCCATTTCACATAATTGCAGCAGTCCACTATGACTAATTTAAGCCATGATGTGTTGTGATGCATGCCAGATGCCTTCTTGAATATTCAGGTTATGGTCAGAGATCATGGTGGCTTACCATATTGTCATTTATTTAATTTTTATATTGTCCTATAGCCAAATATCTCTGGGCAGTAGATTATGACTGTCATGTGACAGCTGAATCATAAAACAACCCATGGGTTATGTAAGGTTGTTTGACACCATGATAAACTGTAGTGATTGTCAGCTGTAGCTTTGTCATTAGGTTATGCTTCTTACCTACCTCTAGTCCCCGAGTATGGTTTCAGAATTTAGGGTCTCCACTCAACCAGTGGTGAGCTGAAACTCTTCCAGTGTGCTTTTCCAGAAAAAAACTGAGATCAGCTGTCATCAAACTGGTAAGCTAAGTTTTATTATATGTGGGTTAAGAGACAGAGAATGGAAAGCACAAAGGAAGCCAATGCTGAGCGTCACATAAGTTAACATAGTGCTCTTTGCATTTATTCTATCCCCATTTTACTCTGTGTCTGTTTTGAAGTCCAGACAGCAGTGAGAAATGCATTAACTAACCTTCAGATAATGCACACAGGAAAATGCTTACAATATAATTCCCAGTATAATGGTAAGTATCATTAATATGAGTAACAAGATCATATATGAAGGAAATATCACTTATTTAGCAAGCTGACCACTCCATCCAGAGCTGCTTCCTCCCTCCAGCTTCATGACTGAGTGGTCAGCTCTGTCTTTCATGCTTTATTAAGTAAGTATTGCCTTCCTAAGGACAGCTACTGCCTTACAGTCATCCTGAAGAGGTAAACAATTCAGTCGCTTCTCCAGCTAATCCCCAAATAGCTGTTGCCCAATAACCAGATCAGAGGAGACACCTTCACCACCAAATCCCTTGTCGTCTCATATCCACACTGGCTCTTCCCAATGATCTGTTGTTGTTGAACCATATCCATATCAGACGCTGCACCATTTCTATATACAAGTTATCAAGCAGGTCCAACTGGTTGAAGATACCAATTTTAACTGTAGAATATCTAACAGCCTGAATATATAAAAGGGCAACCTGCATGTGCCATAATCCACTGTGCCTTCAATAAGATATGGACTCCCATAACTGTGCAACTCTGTCACCTTTGTGGGGAAAGAAGCTTACACTTACAGTCCTGCCCCACTTTTGCAATGTAAAACATGCCATGCTAATCTCTATTTAATGTTACTTTGATGCCATTGTATTTTAGGGTTACCACTTTAATACGTTTGTGGGAAGTAATAAATGGAAGGAGGGAGGGCGGCAGGGCGGCAAGGAGGTGGGCACCTGTGGTCAGAAAGCTGCATACAGAAGGAAAAATGCAGGTGGGCAAAGAAGCAGGGAGAAACATGACTGATGGGTTTGCACCAATGCTCAGTTAAATGTGTGGTCATCTGACATTTCATTCATATAATTGGGAGACCTATTTTATATTGCATTAGCCTCTAGTCTAATTAGATCCTATCCAGTGCAACATACCTATGCACCACTTGAAAGCAAAGGAAGTATATGATAGGGGTGGGTGAATGAGTGATGTCTGAGATTAACAAGATTCTTCAGACATCACCTTGCCACTTGTCCTGTTCCCAGTTTCCATTCACATTTGCTCTGTGCAAATGCTGAATGTGCAGAAATTGAAGAGCAATTAAACAGGAGATTTGTACAAGTC